ATTGAGAATTGTCAAGGAACTTAAACCACGACAGGCCCCCACACAGGAGTTGGTCGGTATCCATATAAACGAACGTCTCGAAGCAGCTAGTGAAAGTTTCAAGAGAGTTCGGAGTTGCAGTCAATTCCAGACAGTTCGAGTTTGGAGTTGGTTCGAGAAGCCTCCTAAAACTAATGAAACAAAGAAAAAGCCAAATAAGTTGCCCCCTAACCCATACTACAGATGTGGGGCCCTACATTGGTACGAAGATTGTATGTCCCGGAATAAAAAATGTTACACAAAAGTCGGACACAAAAGTCGGCATTGCCGATCTAAAAATAAAACCAATAGCGGCATAAAAAATACAAGGTCGGACGAACGAGACGGTGCTAATATCAGGAAATTCGTGCACGTAAAAATGTCAAACAAAAGTGTGGAATTTCAACTAGACTCGGGTTTTGATTTAATTATAATAAACTTTCAAACATGGAAAACATTGGGTAAGCCAACCATGATAAAATCTAGCAAGATTGTAATATCAGTAACAGGAGAAAAAATTAAATTCGAGGGAGATTGATTAAAAATATAACATTCAACGGGAAGACTCTTAAATTAAAATTGTTCATCCTGAAAAATACTAACAATCTATTTGGCACTAATTGGATGACACAATTCCAGCTTTGGGACTTGACTATAAATTCATACTGGCAAAAAATTGAAAATTGGAATGCCGAAGCTGAAAAACTGAAAAAAGAACTGAAGGAAGCCAATCCAGAAATTTTTTCTGATGGGTTAGATGGAGTATTACTTTGCTGAATTACAATTTCAAAATGGAGTATGTGTCATCAAAAAAATTCGGCCATGCGGATGGGTTGTCAAAACTAATTCCCAAGTACAAAGAACCACTGGAAGATACAGTGCTCGCTTCCCTTCAATCTGAAGGAGAATTAAAAACGACACTCTGTAATACAGTAACGGAACTTCCAGTGACGCTTGAACAAATTAGACAAGATGATGTCAAAAATTGAACTACAAGACAACATCCAGCCAGTTCAAAAAGAAGCGAAATGTGCCTTTTGCCTCGTTGGAACAAATTAACGAGGAACTTGACAGATTAGAAAAAACTAGTGTCCTATCTAAAGTAGAGTACAGCGAATGGACCGCACCAGCGGACATAGGCGTTCGCGCTGATTTTTCGACAGGATTAAATGCTGTTCTGAAGGACTATCATTCATTATCCTCTTCCAGAAGACATTTTAGCGAAGCTAAATGGGGGGAAATTTTTTTTCGAAAACTGACCTTAGCGACGCTTACAAATTCCGGTTGAAGAGGTGAGTTGGAAGCTATTGTGCATAAATACGCATCGCAGATTATATAAATTCGAACGTTTACCGTTCGTAGTCAAAGTCGTGCCAGCAATTTTTCAGCAAGTCATGGATAATATGCTGACAACGTTAAGGGCGATGCTCCGGCCTCTCAACTAGAATTCAAAGTGAAACAGAAAAAATATGACCCAGGATATGAAAAAACCGAAAAAATAAAAGAGCTGAAAAAGAAATTAGACAACCAGTCAAAAGCTCAGAACACAAATCCCACTCCTTCCACGTCCTCTGCCCGGTCCGCACCTTCACCCAAAAACAAAACTTCCCCTCCATCTACTCCGTCAAAAGCCCGTCCTCTCAGCAGAGATCACAGTCCCTATAAACATAGATCTTTTTACACTCCCAGCCCTTCCCCTGTTAAAAAAGATCATCCTATACCCCTCTGCATACTCCCAGTCCTTCCCCCGTCAAAAAACTGAAATGCCTCCTCCCGCTTCCAAAAGGGAGAGAAGCCCCACTCAAGCGCAAAATGAAAAGAAGAAAAAAAAACATATCTTCAACACGGGTGAAGATGTCTGTAAAATTTCTACAGCTCAGGCAGAGAGAGCCCGCGACTATGGGAATAGAATAAAAGACCTGAAATACCTTCTATCCATTAGGCAATACGCTGATTTGGATGTAGAAGTTCCCCAAAATTTCCTGCTCGCCCAAAGGGTCCTAACTGTTGTAAGAACAGGACCTGGCGCCAAGCAAGTTTGGACAATGCTAGACGAGGCTATTAGTTCTTACAAAATGGCCTTACCAATAGCCATTGTTCAGAACAAGCAATTGAAGCAGCTGTCAAATCTTTGTGCAGGGAGGGTCCCCGTTTTAGTTCATCCCTCCCTGTATAGAGCCCTAAAGCTAACCTTCCCCTGGGATATCGGCGGAATCTCCCAAGACGGTTCCATAAAGACTGAGATGGGCCATGGGTCTATAGGAGAGGCGGTCGGTATCCTTACCCCGTCCATGTTCAAACTAGTACTTCAACCCTAACCGGTCTTCACTATGTCTCTCTGGTTAGCTAATCTAAATGTCCGGGGCCTGAGGTCCGAGTCTCGCACAAGTTTACCAGTATTTTGCAGACACATCTTCCTACGAAGAGGCTTTAACAATACTGGACAGGATCTACATTAAAACGAAAAATGAAATGGTCTCTAGAAACTTCTCTACTTATCTCCACTCATCGTATGAAAGGCTAGGATCTCCGAAATATCAGTCCTAACTAAACGCACGTTTTTTTTCTGCGGGTGAAGAGACACGCAAAGTCAATATGCCCCGCTAGAAGGCACAAATGTTATACATGCGGAAACCAGGGACATTGGGCAAATTGCAAATTAGATTTCTTTTGTTTCTCATAAACAAAACACAACAGTTATGCTAACATCTAATTTTATAAATAAGACGCAGATAACACAAATATGTTGACCAAATAAAAAGAAAGAGGCTTTGATATAACAAGTCCAAAACAATCATATAAGTGACAAAAAGAACAACTTGCTTGTTTCAAACAATATTTTAAGTAAAACAAGTTTGTAAGAAAAAGGGGAGCACAATGGTAACATGTCCGGCATCATTGGATATACTTGGCTTCTTATGAACTGTAACTATAAAAATCACTGCTAACGGACAGCCACTAAAAGCACTGAAAACTTCCTTAACAAAAGCAAATGCATTACGGAACTAAATTCCTGGTAAATTTGCTAAACCTAAAACAAAGTAGCGATGGCTAGCTCATCTCTTTCCATATAAATACTTGGATACTGTTTAGTTGATCTACGAGTAAAGAGTAAGATGTCTATGCTACGACCTAATTTTAGGGCACAACTTCTTACGCCAACATTTATAAGTAGGCTCTAAGCCATCCTTAAAGTCTGTGGTGTAACAGTCATGAGAATGCCGTACCCAGATCTCTTCAACGATTTAACACCGGATTGTAAACCAGTAGCTACTAAATCTAGGCGACACACGGAAGATGATAATTATTTATCCAAACCGAAGTTACTCGTACGTTGAAGGAAGGAATACTCGAACCCAGTCATTCGCCGTGGAGAGCCCAAGCCTTCGTAGTCTCCTCTGAGAACAGAAAAAAGCAAATGTTAATCAACTATTCCCAAACAATAAACCAGTTTACTTTACTGGATGCCTACCCTCTGCCAAGAATAGAAGATATGATAGAGAAAATAGCCCAAAAAACAGTCTATTTAGTACTCTAGACCTTAAAAGTTACCTACCATCAAGCTCAGTGATAAACCATATCCAGGCCAACGGCAAACAATCAATTTCGCAGAGTACCGTTTGGGTAGCTAGTTTTCAATGAGTGACCAGATAATATCAAAAGAGAACCAACAATGCTTACACCGAGCGGAACAAACGTCTTAAATTATTCATGGCGGCTGTTTAAAAAGTTCAAGCTTACGCTTAACCAAGACAAATGTTATTTTAGACGTAAAAATATAAAATTACTTCGGTACATAATAACTAAAAATATAAAACCGATCTACAACGACTGAATCCATTACTCAGCCTACCGGTCCTAAAAGATTTACCCGCTCTGCGCCGTGCATTAGGAATGTTTGCACACAATGCACATTGGATATCGTCTTTTTCAAACAAAATCCACCCTGTAACAGCAGTATCAAATTTCCCGTTATCTCCCATAGCAGAGAAAGCGTTTAACGAGTTAAAGAGGGACATAGTGAAAGCAGCCATTACTACGTCCGATCATACACTAACTAACTCTGATAATAGAGACGGACGCCTCACAATGGCCATAGCCGCCTTTTTAAGACAGTCGGGGAGGCCCATAGCCTTTTTCTCCAGAGCCCTGTCTAAATCAGAACGTAGGCATTCTGCAATAGAGAAAGAAACCTATGTTATTGTCGAATCACTGAGAAAAGGGAGACTTTATTTGAACGGGGAACATTTTAAATTAATTACAGACCAAAAATCGGTCTCGTTCAGGTTCAACACGACAACAACAAGCAAAATTAAAAATGAGATCAGGTGGAGAATGAAACGTTCGAGTTACTCGTTCGACGAAAAAAGAACCCGAAACTCTGGACGCCCTCTCTCGTGTATGTAGCTCGGTTGCTTGCAAAGAAGTTAAAGAAACTACATAGAGAATTGTGCCACCAAGTTGTTACACGCATGGTCCACATGAGGAAAATCAAAACCTCCCCTATTCAGTAGAGGATGTGTCTAATTTAGAAAATATATCCGAGACCAGCGACGGGGTTATCCACATATTACTCAGGAGAACATCAGTTTTAGTAGGGAAATCAGGTATGGGTACTCCAGATGAATCGAGTGTTGAGTTGGATGAGAATTTCCGAGCAAAGCATTCAGCCTTATCCGCTGTGGATGTCAGGACTTCGAATTGGTTGAAGAGAGGCGGAATTACGGATTTGTTGTTGTTCAGCACACTCTTACAGAGCCACCAATAATTTCTTCAACCGAATTTGCCAAATGCTACAAGCTGATTCGTTCTGTCAGTAAATTGGCTTCATTGAAGACACGCTTGCATTCGTTACGAGCAGAGACAAAGAGAGATCTATTGCAATCGGACTTCTCGCCGACTGTACCAAGTATTCTGTTTTATGGACCCAAGCGCAAGGGCTGGGGTGGGGCATGATGTATTCTGGGTATCGCAAAGAACCAATGATGTCTCTCCTTGCAAATGCCCAAATATGTGTGAGCCCCTCATCCCTCCTTGGAATTCTACCTTGGCCTTCTCCTTCTTCTGGTCACCTGATCATAGCCATCTCTTTCCAGAGGCGTGAGAAATCCTCCGCCTTTCCTGCAATTCCATCTAGACCTCTCCTCCTTAGTCACCTGACCAAAACCGTCCCTAAGGGCTAGGCGTGGTCTAGCCCAACGGCCAAATTTTAATTATCATTTAAAATTCTTTTTTATCGTGCTTTTCTGCTGGAAACCTGTCTGCTTCTAAAAGCTAATCCTTATCAATTGACCGAATTCGTGGCCAGAGGTATGTTTTTCATTAGTTGTAAAAATATTATCTATTTCTTTCTGGGAAGTCCTTGAATCTCCAGAATAGCTCGTCACGTAGTCTCGGTTGTAATCGAAACCAGATGGTCTCTTTGTTTTATCTTTCCAGCGGACAAGAAATTTAATTACCTTCTATTTTTTTTTCCAATAAAAAAAAATCCGTTTCTTTGATTTTCTCTCGTCTGGTCAGCGGTATATCTTCAGTCTGTCGGAATTTAGTGTTTTTCAGTCGTCTAGTTTTTTTTCTCAATTAAAGACAAACATCTTTTTCTTTCATTTCTCTTCGTCTGGTCATCGGTATATCTGGAATTTAGTGTTTTTCAATTTACTAGCGCCTTTCCAATAGTGTCACATCTCTCCCTTAACCTTCCTGTCATTTACTTGTATATGACATCTTAAAATCCCAAAATCTATTAATACACTATTTATCATGCATACTAATTCATTCAGCAAAAAAAAAAAGAAAAAAAAAAAGATATTCTTTTCCCTTTGGTTTTCATTTCTTTAATGGGTCTTTCCTTTTCATCTGTTTCTATGCAATATTTATAAGCAGTCTTTCCTCTTTTGTTTTCATAAAAGGTCTTTCATCTTCTTTCTTTCCATGCAATGTTTTTAATCAGTTCTTCCTCATCTGTTTTCATACATCGGTTTAATATATGGGGTTCGCAGCACCCCTTAAAATTTCCTTTTTTCTTTCTTTTTTGGTTGATTATTATGCATTGTGTATATATGGGGTTCGCAGCACCCCTTAAAGTTCCACATTTTTTATGGTCTGCCCTGTTTAGTCACCTTTATTTTCTCCACAATAGGAGGCTTCGGTCTCTCATCAATAGGTGCCGGCTCTGGGCCCACTTCCTCTGTCGAATCTAACCTGGTTTCTTTTTTGTCTTGGTTCAACATGTTTGGGTAAGGAACACTGCATGGCAAACCATCCTCGAGCCGCCACGAATTCGCCAGAATATCATCAGCCGATTTCTCTCTATACCTGTTTAGTTTCCATATTGCCGTCACTATAACAGCAATAATTACCAGGGTACTTATTGATACTGGCTAGTTTATTATGGTCTTCTTATTCTCCTCCCCGACTGTACTCTGTCTTAAAGTATGTAGTTTGCAGGCTCTTGGAACTTTGGCATTTTCTTTGGGATACATTCAGTGAATTTGTCCACCACTGGTTTCCATAAGGCTTTTCTTTACTGTTTCTAGGAGTGAGTCCTGTTCCTCATACTTTTCTTCCGCCTGATAATATTGTGGAAGCGAAATGGGCACTCCAAAGGCCGAACATCCCAGCGGCAGCTTAATTAGGGACAATGAGGGTCTCTCTCCAAGGTTCTAGTGGGTTCTTCCCTACACACCCTAGCCAGATCAATTTGTCTCTGGGTAGAAATTGCCCAAATCACGTCAGATACTAATAGCCTGGGGAAGCACTGCGTTCGTGAGTATTTTCACTTGACAGCTTTCTTTATTTTTTCTTATCTCTCTTAAATAGTTCTAGCACACACGTAACATAAATGAGGATTAATGATGTACACATTCCCAACGCGTCCGCCTGACACTCCCTCGCCTCTTCGGCTGTCAGTATCATAAATGTCGTCCTAACCGAGTTCATTGCCATATACTCTGTTTCGACTCGGTACTCAGCCACCGCCTCCAATCCCTGCCCCGCTTGGGTAAATTAACTACTTGATATACTTCAAATATGCTTTCCCGGTTCAGCAGCGGAATGGGCATCAAGACCAACAACTTCTTATCTTCTAATAAGCTAACACAACCTGATGCATTGTAGTATTTCCACAATTCCTCGGTGGGGTCCACCGGTAACCTCAAACGATGGGGCAACTCAGCTTGTATCTTTAATAACAAGTTACTATGTTTAGGGACAGGTGTCCTAAGGACAACATATCCAATTGCGCTCTCACATGCTCTAACAAAATCGTCGTACCTTGTTAATAATGCTTACATGCTGTACAAAGTCACTCAGTGCCTAAAATTCGTTTGCCACAGTTCTCGAGATATATCTCCTGCTTCAACTCTCGCAAACTGCTTATCAACCGATTGATTACCCTATTTTTCGTTAGTTCTACTATTTTAATATTCATTATCGATACACTTTCGCCACCTCGGATAAGACTCTCTGATCCTTTTCTACCTCTCCCAGTTTCTTTCTTATAGACTCGATATCGTCGTCGGTCACCGTTAGAAACAAGGCAGTGCTTTTCCTACAATAGAGAGTATAGCTCTTTCCTTCCCGCTTTGTTCCACTGAGCCTCCAATACGGCTGTTTCCAGCTGCATGAAGTCCAGTAATCTAAGATATTTCTCTTCCCTGATATATCATTCCTGTTACCCTGTTCCTCGCCACGCCCAGCATAGCCAATTCATTCCCTATTTTGTCCAATAGCAACTCATAGGGGGTTTAAGTCTATTATGAAAGTAACCAGCCATTTTAACCTGGTTATCACTTCACTGGTTTTCTTGAGATTTTGGCTGTGTCCCCATGCATCTATCACCATCGCCAGTAGCCGTACTAGGCCTTTTACAACATCCATTCCTGCAAAGACAAGATTCCTCACGTTACTACTCTTGACTTAGTTAAACTTTTAGTGGACTGGTTGATTTTAGACAGACGCGCGGTGTTTTCCGTCTCAGGGTCGGGGCCCACCGATACCACCGCCGGATACATACGGGCCCATGTGCAATCCCACGCCAGCACCAGCAAGTCCCGGTGACGTGCTATCCACACCTCTATCCCCATCAACCAATCCCCACTGTTATTTACTGGATGGGCATTTAATAAACCCAACGTCGGTGTGCACCGGCACCGAATCCACTCGTCCCATTGTTCACGGCCTAATTCTTTTTATTGAGATTCTGGGTTTCCCGCCCCTCTCAGACTTAATTCTGGCTCAGTTTCTTCTCCCCTTAATCGTTTTCGGAGTTGGGACAGAGGTATCTCGTCCTCTTCCTTCCACTCATTCCTTTCCTCATTTTCGGAAGACTTCAAGCCTTACTCCTGAACCTCGCCACACGGGTCTCTCGTCTTTGTTATAGTTCTGCGACACCGACAGGCCGGACCAGGAATGTCCCGAGGACCTTTTGGCGATGGGGGTGCACGGACCACCCTACCCGATGCATCGTCGCGGATTTCTATGCACTGGTTACTTCTTTCTCTTTCGTCCTCTTCAGAGTCTTCGCCCATCTCCATTTCTTCCGGCTCCACAAGGGTTACTTTCCTCCTCCGCAGTTCTTTGTTTCGTGATTCAGTTCCCTCCCAATCAGCTATTTCGGCTAAATTTAGCTCATTAGCATGAACTCTCTTAACTCGCCCTGCTATCTGATCTCAGATCACAAATGACACTGGACCCGTCTGTTCCACTATTCTATAATAGGAGTTTCCACCTCTGGTCCATTTTTCCTTGTCTTTAGTGAATTTTGTAGAACACGTGGTCCCCAACCCCTAGCTCTACCTTTTTTCTCCCTCTATTCGCTCTATCATTTCTTTTCTTTTGTGCATTTTTATCCTTCTCTTGGCCTGGGTAAACAACTTATGCTGCTGCTTGATTAGTGAGTTCTATCCTCAATAGGTGCCCCATACTTTCGGCCTTGTGCCACATCTAAGTCGGGCTTAGAAAATCCGTTTGGGGCACCTTGACGTGGTGTGATCGTTAGACAACCTGTCTTGATAGATCAATTACGACTGAGTGGTGAGTTCGATCCTCACTGGGTGCCCTATACTTTCGGCCTTGTGCCACATCTAAGCCGGGCTTAGAAAATCACTATGCTGCTGCTCGATTATCCATTGGTGGTGGTCTTCTCCCATATACCTCCTACGGGGTTTTAACAAATTATCTATGGGTAAAACCACATCTCGCCTGTGCAGCATATAGTATGGCGAGAATTTAGAGGTTTCATTTATTGTAAAACTCACGGCCGCCAAAGCCTGTGTTAATTGCTGGTCCCAATTCTCTGTGTTTTCCTTCGCCAACTTAACCAGCACATCATCCAAGGTTCTATGAAACCTTTCTACTTTTGTATTACTCTCGAGATGATAGGGGAACGTGGTTATGTCTGCTATATTCAGGCTTGCCAGGGTCTCAGCCATTATTCTATTCACATTTTCTGGTCCATTGTCTGAGACCAGTTGGTCAGGAGCTCCATACCTAGGGAATAATATCTCGTTCAATATTAAATCCGCCACTGTCTAAGCTTTCTTATTTGGCACGGCATACGCCTCAGGCCAATTTGTTAGCCAGTTTACAAAGTCCACTAGATGGTTCCGACACATCCATACTAACCTTTCCAAAGGGGAAATTTGTGATATCTGTCTCTACAAGAAAGGCCATCTCTTGTCTTCTATTCCGGGCTTGACATACCACGCAGCACTGAACATAGCTGGTAATCTCGCTATACAGTCCAGGCCAGTAATAAGTTCTCTCCACTAGGTTACAGGTCTTATCAATCCTCATATGACACTGCCCCAATATTTCAGCTCTCAGATACCTCGGCACATATAGTCTGAGTCTAATCTCTTCCTGAGAGGTAATACAGCATCCCTTCAGCTGGGTATTCTCTTCCACATCGGTCTCTCATACAGGACGATCTCCCAGCCTATTTGAGTTAATCACTCTAATCTGATAGGCTCTATCATCTACTCCCTGCTCCACCTTCACTGATTTCGCCTCCAATTGTTTTAGTATTCTTGACAACACGTCCGCACATGTTGTTTATGCCAGCCAGACATTCTATCTTGCAGTTGTACCCGATCAATGTCCACTCCTGGATCTTTTTATTTGTCCAGTCAGCCTGCAACAAGAGAGCTTTATTGTCAGGCTTAATGCTAACACTACCCTATTCAGGTAATAGTCCAACTTCTGCAGTGCGTACATGATAGCGTATGCCTCCTTCTCTATCACCGGCCATCTCTGCTGGGTCTCTGAGAGCCTCTGTGATAGGAAATATACTAGCAATTCTTCCAGTATACCTGGCCCTGGATCATCCCTGTCCGGGTATGGTTGGGTAAGGAGTGCTCCTATGCATTGCTCACTAGAGTCCGTGTAGAGGACCACTGGCTTGCTAAACGCCGGAATTAATCGTCTGTAATAGCCTATGACTCCTATGAACCCCCTCACCTGTCTTACCGTCGTTGGCTCAGGTATTTCTCTGATCGCTTCTACCTTGTCCAGGTCAGATTTGATTCCTTCCCCATTTATTATAAACCCCAAGTATTTTGTTTCTTCTCTCAGGAATTGGCACTTCGACAGCTTCAATTTCAGTCCGTGCCCACCAATCGTCCTAGCACTTGACTCAAATGGTGAAAGTGCTGTTTCTGAGGACAGCAGAATGTCGTCCAGATAGGCCATAGCGAAAACTTTGATGCCGCCCAGCACTATGGACATTAGCTGCTGAAAAATACCCGGGGTATTGGTCAATCTAAATGGCATGACCCGGAACTGAAGCAGGCCCATGTGGCAACTCAAATGCGGATTTCTCTCTCTCAGCTTCGTTGAGGGCTACCTATCACAGGAAGGCCAGTATGTCATCGATTTTTGGTAAGGGTACTGGGGGTTTCGAGATGGCATTCAGCTTCCTGAAATCAACACAAAATCTGTACCCACCATCTATTGGGAAGCTCCAAGGTGACCTAGACCTCTCAATTAACTCTAACATATCTCGAGCTTCCTCTTCCACAAGAGTACTCTTGTGTATGGGCGTCTGGTAGGGTCTTAATTTGATCGGCACTTCGTCACCGGTATATATTTTCATCTTGACTGTTTGGGTCTGCTCTCTATCCGAATTAGTCACCACATTACAATTGGGCCTCAACAGACGTCCTATTCTGGCCCTAAACCTCCAAGGAACAATGATATCCTCGTCCCTTACTTCTGTAACTCTGTCTGGGACGCTTTCTTCCTCTCTATCAAATTTCACCTGTTGTATGGACCCCAGTGGTAAGGCCTTTCCTACCTCTTCCCCTTTTGTTATTTTGTTTTGTTGACCTGAGTGGCCAACATTATAGGCACCACTTCTTCTCTTTCCAAACTGCCTCGCACAGAACCACTTCGTCCTCCCCAGGACTGCACACCTCAATCGGTGTTAATTGGACGATTTCTTTCATCTCCCTTCTTCCAGTGGCCAGAGCGACCTAATATCTTCGTCGGCCAACACTGCTACTGACTCGTCTGTTGCTTCCCCCAAGGGCGTCTCTACGCAGTCTACCACCAATACAGTGGGATGGAATATGTGTGCCCTGTGTTGATACAGCCAATCCTCTCCTAGGATCACTTCCTCACACAACTCTGGTGTCACGTAAAACCTATGGAAACTCTTTGTCATTCCTACCTTTACTGGGTGTATCACTATCCCCCTTATGGTCATGGGCCTCCCATCCGCTTGACTAACCTCTATGTCAGGTCTTTTCATCCATCCCCTCTTCTTGAGGCTTCTATATCGGTCCACCGATGCCCCTGTATCAATCAGGGCCCTCATCGTCGACCCACCTTCCACTGCTTTACAGGTCAGTTCTCCTCTTTGAGTTAGCAGGGAGAACACCTTAGACGTCCTCCTTCTGGAGCGACGTTCTTCCGCCCATCCAAACATGGGTGCCGGCAGCAGTACACTCCAACTTCCGTCACCACGGGAGGGGGATGTATTGGGCTCGGCTGTCTCTTATTCCCTCGTGGCGATATCTCTTATTCCCCCCTGGCAGACGTTTCTAGATTCTTCCCTATTTCTTCTATAGGGGCAATTTTCTTTCAGGTGTCCTGGATCATTGCAAGACCAGCACCTCCTCTCAGGGCACTTCTTGGCGGAATGACCAACCCGGCCACATGTCCAAAACCGCAATCCATTCCACTTTAACTAAGCCACCTTTCTTCTACTTTTGGAGCAGCGCAATGGCGTTTCCCTGATTCTGTCTAGTAGTGGCACGCTAGTTGGCGTGGAGGTCGGGCGCCTTTATGATTTCGCACCATTTCGCCTTATGGCCTCAACGACAGCATCTTGTACTTTTTAGTTCGTCGTGGCTCCGATGTAGTCCCCATTTTGTTGGAAAGTCCACTGTTCACCTCCGTAATGACAGGTCCAGCATACTAGCCCCATCCTGCCAGGTGTGGGCTTATAAAATCCAGGCCCCAGCATCCAGGCCCTTCTTTTAGGAATCTCTTCCCATTCTTTCGGATGGTAGGTTTTTGTGTGAGTTTAAATGAGTCCTAATGGAGCTATGGTTGGATTAGTGTAACGTTTGACCAATGTAATTAATGTTTGGTCTGATTAGGAACACAGTTTCTTAAGGGCATTTGAACTCGTAGATAATTTTGGTTCTTTGTAGTTTTGATTTTGCGGGTGTGTTGTTATTGTTGATAAGGTTAGCTGTTTTAAATTTTTTGTAATAGATAATTAATTAAATTTTCTTGTTCAGGTCGACTGGGGTTGTGTATTTCTTTATGATATTTCTAAGAGAAAGTTCGTCTTGCTTATAGTTAGCATGTATTCGGCTCTTGTCGTAGATGTTATTGTTTTTATCCGTATGTTCAGTCTCGCCATTAGTGACTTTACAAAGAAATAGTATAATCTGATGGCCGATGAGGTAGTTACGAAAACTACCGTCTGCTTTACATTATTAAGTTCTTTAAGGAAAAGGGGAATTTTTTATAACTACTAAGTGAGCATTAACTTTTAAAATTAAAGTGGCAAAAGGTTCTGCTAGTGTTTTTTTATATAATGAAGTGGCGAATGTGTTATTACTGAATTCTAGGAAACGTCTAAGAATTAAACTTTGTTTTCTTTGACAAAGTTCATACGTAAGCCAAGTAGCGATGGTCGACCCTATCAAATGCCTTGGACTGATCCAACTTGCTAGTCGTCTCTTACACCCTCTAGGATCGTACGGATCAAATGCAGATTGCCCTTTTTCAACTGCGTGATCTCTATACGGTCGAGAACGGACGCCTGGCGGAACCAAAATGCCAAAGTAGGGCCGGATGCGTACACAAACTGGGCAAGAACAGTCGGAAGATTTGGCATTGGGGAGGCAAACGACAGAGATCTCAGAT